CCCGTGTCCCCTGCATCGGCAGGCGGACTCTCAACCACTGCGCCACCAGGGAAGCCCATCCCCTACTTATTGAAGTCCCTCTTTGACTCCATGCTCCCATTCCACCTTGCAGACAGTTCTGTCCCAGCATTTGCCATATTCACTGTATTATATTTTTTCCTTGTCTCCCTCTCCCACTAATACTGTGACCTTTTTGAGGAAAGAGATTACGTCTTCTCACCTTTAATTCTTAGTTCCCACCCCAGTCCATGGCATACAGATACTCAGTAAGCAAATCTGTAGAATATAAGCCTATGTTCCAGTCTAATATTTTAACCTTACGTTTAAATTATTTTGATTAAAAGCTGCCTTTATTCCTTATTTGAAAACGGCAAGGAAAACAGATTAATCAATATATTTAAATAAAGAAATAACTTGCAGATTACCGAAATATTGCAGAGGAACAAAAAGGCTGCAATATTCCTTAAGACTCTTCTCTGGGCATTGCCCTGCAGGAAACGGGGGTGGCAGGCTGGGCCCAGGGCCCCTTCCCAGCTCTTTTCCTCTTCCTCTTTGCTACCAACTTCTCTCAGACACATATTTCCATTGGCCGCATGTGGCATCTCGCTGTCCTGGGGAGCCACGTCCCCGGCTGCAGGTCTGCTCTCGAAGCAAGAAGAAGGGAGGGATGTGGCATTGCCATTGCAGACTGTGACCACCTGCGGGGTTCTGAGGTCCTTGGAGAGCTTCTCTGGCTCTCGGTGAATGGACTCAATGATGAAGAGGTTCTGGATGTACTTCTCAACAACCACCAGGATGGAGTAGGGCAGGTTGTACCAGGTGTACGGGGGGCAGGACTCAGCAAAGAGGATGGCCAGGATGGAGCCCCAGGAGATGAGCCAGGAGCCGGAGGCAGTGCCCACCAACAGGTCTGCGTCCAGTTTGCGGGCCGGATTTTTGGACTCGTCTAGTGATTGCTCATCTAGCCTATAAATCCGGATCCCAGCCAGCCCTGCCGCCCCCATGAGTACGAGCAAGGTGATGGCATACAGGTAGAACATGATGAGTGCTGACTCGCTCCCGGTTTTGGAACGCCCGATCCAAATCAGATACACCACCACGACCCCAATAGTGGCAGCCAGTGCCGTCAGGCCCAGTACCGAGCCCAGCATGACCCCGTGAGACCTGAACTGCATCTTCTGACGCTGATGACTGTCAACTTTGCGCCCGATGTTTTTCCACAGGACGTAGAGCATCGTGGAGGCCAGTATCTGATACTCTATGTTGAAAGGGTAGAGGTAATAGATCCCGTGGGAGATGGCAGAGCAGAGGGTCGGGGGCGTGCAGTTACACGGAGGCGTGTGGTCATCTAAAACTAGCGGGGAGACAGACCACAGGGGAGGACAATTAGAACATTCAGTGGCGAAGCAGGAAACCACAAACAAATACTCTCACTGTGGATTGATGCTTGGGTTTGCCATTGAATTAAAAGCTTTATTTCATGGCTTTTTGTCATGTTTCATATCATGGCTAAACTGACAGCCATGAATACTCCCCAAAGAGTACTAATTACACGAATTAGATCTTATCCATACATCAGAATATTGTCCAGCCATTGCAAATGGTATTTTAGAAATTTACTTATCAACATATAAAGACGTTCAGAAGACACTGTTGAACAAAAGCAGCTGCCAAAGAGGCTGGAGTATGGCTCCGTTTTTATAAATTATAGATATCTTGGTGATATATACATACAGAGACAGAGAGATAGACAGACAGAAAAGAATTGGAAGGACATAAACTAAAATGTTAACAATGGTTATCTCTGGGCGGGAAAATGGCAGGTGATTTTTTTTTTCAGTAAAAGAAACTTCTATTGAGATATAATTGACATACAACCTAATGTAAGTTGCCCTCTAGATTTTGCTTCGCTGTATTTTCTAAACTTTCTATGTGAATATGATTGACCTGTGTGATTTTTAAATTACTTTTTAAAAACAGCTTTGTGAGGGAAAATGCCCCTTAGCAGCAAAAATTTTCCTCTTGAGAATATCCGAAGCCAGCAAGTGTGGCACGAGACAGGCCCCACCTTCTGAAAGACACTTGGCAATGGTATAAAGGACCATTTCATAACAAGGAGGGGAAAAGCTGTAAGTAATTAATGAAATATGCAACAAAAGCCTTAAAGATGATATAAAGTTTCTGGCCTATAATTCCAATCTATTCTAAGGGACAAGTCAAAAATATAGTCAAAGCATTAGGTAAAATTTTGTTGTGAGTTTTTGAGAAAGAAGGAGAAACACCTCAATGTGTAACAATTTAGAAAGTGTTAAATGAATTTTGGTACATCCTTACAGTAGAATAGTAGGCAGCCATTAAAAATTATAATTGTGTTTTAATGATACAAGAAAATAATTGTCACAATAACAATGGGAAAAAAGTAAGAACAAATTGTATATCCAGTATTTTTAAATGCATACCACAACCCAGAACTCAGTTGTGAAATCAATTTAGAGGGTAGCAACCAATATTTTTTTAATGGAATTGCAATGGAATAAAACAGGATTGAATGAATGGAATCAAATACAATAGAAATTTGAGTGTCTCTGAGATAGTAAGATTATTATTTCATGTGTACACACATACAGGTATGTGTTCATTTGGGTTGCAATGTAAAATCTATTTCTTATTGTACGTTGTAGAAAAAAAATGATCGAATATGTACAGTATGATCTCAACTATAAATAAATAAATAGCACCAAGACCAAAAAATAACCAGATGTTACCAGCATTTAAGTGCACTTCTGGGTAGGTGCTATTGTGGATATTTTCTTTACGTTTTGTCATTGTTTTAATTTATGATATATTTTAATATATATGATACTACTTACAAAATCAGACAAAAACCTTGGGAGTAGCATTAATTACCCTCACTTTTGCGGAATACTGCAATTTTCAATTCAGAAGGAGTTTCCCCAACACTTGTAACACAATACAATACAATGCAAAAGACAACGGAAATACTCAGGAGAAAAGGCTCAGATTAACAGAATGTTAGAGCTGACAAGAGTCCTTTTTTATAAATTAATCTAATCCCATCTTCACCAAGGTCTCTGGAGCTAGATTGCTGGAATTCAAATCCCAGCTCAATTGTCCATCTGCTGTGTGATCTTGGGTTAGTCATTTAACTTCTCTCTGGCTCAATGGCTTCATCCATATAATGAAGTCACTGTTGCCTACCTCAGAGTGTTGGGACAAGAGTTTAATGTGCCAGCCACTCAGAAAATGCTTAACAAAACTTTTTGTTATTGTTGTCACTGCTGTTACTGTTATTGATACCAGTGAGGAGACGGGGCCCAAAGAGAATGGCCTTCCCAAGAGTGGGCTGCTGGTTAGGGGTGGTGAAGAAACGTAGTGTGTCCCCCTGATTTTGTCATCCCCACCGCACTGGTGAGGAAACGGGTTTAAAGTTGCTCTCTGGGACTGACCTGCGTTTGTACAGAGAGGATAGATGTGCATTACATTAAAGCTGGAAGGACTCATGGAAAGTACATGGTTCAAGTCCCTTCTCTTCATAAAAGAGAAAAGGGAGGCTCGGAGTGGTTGAATGTTTTCCAAAGGTCACACAGCTAGAAGGTGATGGGAACAAGACCCAAACCTGAGACATCAGTCCCCTGTACATTGCACCTTCCTCTACCCCACATTCTTCTCAACCCCAGTGCTCTAATATAGAAGCAACAGGTCACAAATGCTAAAGAATTTTGGAAGAAAATGAAGGGTCATGAGACAGGCGCTCCAATAGGAACAAGGGGGAATAAAGATGAGCCAAAATGATAAACTAAGTAGAGTTAAATAAAAACTTCAAGTGAACGAAAGCCAATTAACCACAACGTACCATTAGACTTCTACGGATTTTTTAAAGCTATACTTTTAGTAGAAAGAACTGGTAATAGAGGTTTAATTAAAAACACAAACAGAAACAACCACCAATCTTCCAAGGCTGTAAACAAAGACATTCATTTCCATACCAAACTGGACCATGAGAAACAGTGATCAAAATGATGACCCCTGGATCTGACAAGTCCCTGAGTCACTGAAGAAACCTTTAATTATGCTCAGCACACCCTACTTATGGAAGCAGGATGAGAGACTTAGGAGGTTTTGAAAGATTTTCAACAACAGAGGATTGTCTGGCCGATGTTGAATTGGGTGGACCCTGCAGGTCTTTGAAACCCGTACCTCCATCTATGGACATTCTGGTCTCTGCGGGTTTCCAAGCTGTTCCAAGATGGCAGCTGGGCAACTCTTACCACTCACCTATCGTTATGTTCCCGAAGCCCAGGGTGATGAGCCGTTCCTTGTGCTCGTTAAGTTGGTGCTTTGACTCATTCAGGATGCTGTTCGCCCAAAGAAGCAGGTTGGTGAACACTGAGTGGATCACCCCAAACCTGAAAAACACAAGGACTCACTTCCTGAGCAGCCCTGGGAAGCTCCTAGCCCCGTGAGGTGAGATGGAGACATTGCACACATGTACACGGGCACACACACAAGCTTCCTTCTTAGCAGTGATTGTGATTTCATCGGGCAGCTCAGGCTCTGGGTGGGTCCCCTGTCTGGCTGGGAGAAGCAGATCCATGGGACCTTCCAAAACCACAGCCTTGGCATCCTGCCTTAATCTTGAACCTGCCAGTACTCAGCTCATTGTCTACGGGACAAGACAAAACAAATAAAAATCTGGGTCTTGGAAGCAGGGATACAGGGGTGGAAATTTACTAAAAACAGGCAACCAACCCCACCATACCCCAAACCCTTTCTTCCAAAAGGGAAGAGAACAGTGAAGGAAAGATGAAGGGGCTACACTGGAAATCTGGAGAACTGGGTACGTCTTTGCTGTTGGGTTGCCAACCCAGTGATCATTACCCACCCCCTCTGTCTTACCACTTACTTCTAAAGACACCAAAAAAAACCAGAAGCTCACTATCTGGCCTCCCTTGAAGTTGAGCATGGCCACTGCGGCCGGTAGGATGTGAGATGAGGTCTACTGGGCACTACTGAAAAGCTTTTGCTTTCTGGATGGAAGAGAGCAGAATGAGAAAAGCCTACTTATTCTTCTTCTCCCCCTTTTTTCCAGCCTTCAATACAGACATGAAGGCTGGAGTTTTGGCAGCTATCTTGTGACCATGAAGCAACAAGCATGGGATGAAACCCTCACCCACTGAGGGTGGCAGAGTGGAAACACAGAAAGATCCTGCTCTGTGACGACACTGTTGAGCTGCTGGAGTCTTGGATAGGTTCAGGAATTAGGCCGTATTATTTACAAATAGAATGTGTAGCTGCATTCGGGGTTTGAAAGTTAGGAAGCGACAAGCCTGTTCTAGTCTGACCTCAGAGTTCTGTCCCTGCCTCTGACCATACTGCCTCCTAAAGAAGAAGAAAAGAAATGACATGGAGGGTGGACTCTGGACTCTGGAGAACAGAGGAGGGATTTGGGGCAATATGGTTCCAATGGAGTCACTGTCTGTTTCAAAACCTCCAAAGATTCCCCATGGCTGCCAGTTTAAGATGTATTTACTTTGGTAGCTTCCAGGGTGCTTAACAATGGGCCTTGCATGGAGCAGGTGCAGCAAATACAGGTGATTTGAGAGAGGAATTCCTTGAAACCTGTGTGTAACTGATCACTTCTCAGTTTGAGAGCAGAGGCCCAGAGGATGTGAGCCCCCTCCCCGTGTAACCAAGAGCACCCTTGTCCATAATCTCCCTACAGGAAGAATGGTACAGTTGGGTCCTCAACCCTGACCTTGCCTCTCCTCTGAGTTTTAACCCCAGATGACCCCCTGGGGTTCCCACGAGCAACTGCAAGCAAAGTCTTTCCTCACTTGAACTCCAGCTTCCTTTGGCAACTTCCCGGTGTCCAGGCACAAGTGGGGAAGGAAACAGCCGCCTGCGGGTGTCTGAGTCAGCTGTCTACCCATCTGCTTGCCCCTCATGCTTGCCCAGTTGCTATAGATTGTGGCCAGCCTTCCCCGGGACATCTGGGAGGCATTGTATAGAGCCTTTGACAAATGCAGACAATGCTGTTTGCCTCCGGCTGGCTGGCTTTTCTTTTACTTATAATGCACACAGCTCCCCTTTCTTCTCCTCTTTCCTGGTCCAAATGGCGTTGTCTCATCCCAGGTCCACTGAACCTGAGCAGGTAATACTAATGCCGCCCACAGCTGCTGGCTGTTCTGCCACAAACGCTCCCTGCGAGCTGGCAGCCTCCTGTTGATTTGATCTGGAAATTGTCCTACCAACTAAAGGCAGGCGTTGTTTCCTCATGCCAAGCTGCCTTTCTCACACTTGGATCTGATAACCCCAGACCACAATAAAGAAGGGTTCTGTGAGCCATTCTCTAATCTCAATTTATGTTTCCAGGTCTTTTTTCAGAACTGCTGCTCCTCAAAACTTCACTCTTGAGAAAAGAAAAGGACTCAAACCAGTAAGAGGAATTCTCACACCAGGAGAAAAGTCCTTGTATGTACTAAAAGCATGGATAGTGGAATATTGGCTCAAAAGATCAGAAAAAAGGGTAAGTCCAGGAGATGGAAGATTTGAAAACTCCGGGGCATGGCAAGAAATGTCAATGACTAAAGCAGGCCTGGGATAACATTAGGGAGTGCTGGGGACTGTAGCTAACTGAGCAGCCACCACCCCCCCCCGCATCTGGAGGGAACAACCCCAACTTGGCTCTAGCTCTTTGTTGCCATGCACATTTTGGATTATCAAACCTCCCAATTTCTCTAGAGACATCTAAATCTAAAACTGAAAGGTGGGATTTCCCTGGTGGCGCAGTGGTTAAGAATCCGCCTGCCAATGCAGGGGACATGGGTTTGAGCCCTCGTCCAGGAAGATCCCACATGCTGTGGAGCAACTAAGCCCCCGCACCGCAACTGCTGACCCTGTGCTCTAGACCCCACAAGCCACAACTACTGAGCCCGCGTGCCACAAGTACTGAAGCCCATGCGCCTAGAGCCCATGCTCCGCAACAAGAGAAGCCACCGTGATGAGAAGCCCACGCACCACAACGAAGAGTAGACCCCACTCACCACAACTAGAGAAAGCCTGCGCGCAACAACAAAGACAATGCAACGAAAAAACAAATTAAAAAAAAAAAACTGAAAGGTGGTAACTCAAAAATGGTTAACACTTTGCGCTATTTTAAAAAAACAAAAACAAAGAAAAAACAAAAAACAGGCTAAAGCGAGTTATCAGCATATCTGATTCAAACCACTCACTATCCAGTTTAGGAAAGAGGCCCAGAGACAGGGAGAGACTTGTCTCCGATTGCCCAACAAGCAAGGCCAAGGCAGGACTAGGCCCCAGTCCTATAGGTTTCCCTCAGATGAAAAATCCTGGTGGGAAATGTCTGCGTACATGGCCTAGAACAGCATTATCCCCCAAAAGATAATGCAAGACACTGATGTGAGCCACATATGTAATTTTTAATTTCTTAGTAGCCACATTTAAAGAATAGTAAAAAGGAACAGGTGAAAATAATTTTAATGATATTTTGTTAATCCCAATATATCTAATATACTGTGATGTCAACTAATCAAAGAGAAAGATTTCACCCAGCAAACCCTGCTGGCCACTGCAGCCACTGCAATGCCATGGAAATAGCAGTAGATTTAAAGTCAGCACTCAGATCCCGCCCAGCTATGCACAGGCAAGCTGCCTGACCTTGGACACTTACTTCATTTCTCAGTTTCCTCATCTCAAAGTGGGATCATGATCAACCTACTGTCCCTGACAGGGCTACTGTGAGAGGTTCTCATAAGTAACACATGTAAAAGAAAATGCTTTATGAATGGGAAAGCCCATTTCATTCAGCCAGGAGTTCCCAGTAGATCAAACTACACAATATACATTTGTTGAAAACATCTCACCCTTTATCCCCACAATCCTACTTCTAGGAATTTAACTCAAGAAAATAACCAGAGGATAAACAACAAGGTCCTACTGTATAGCACAGGGAACTATGTTCAATATCCTGTAATAAATTGTAATGGAAAAAGGAATATACACAACTGAATCACTTTCCTAGACAGCAGAAATTAACACAACATTGTAAATCAACTATACTGCAATAAAATAAATTTAAAAAAGGAAAGAATCAGAGATGTTCAAAAATATTTTTAGCCAAAGATGTTCATCACAGTACTATTTATAATAACAACAAAAACTTTCAGAAAAATTCGATGTCCAACAAGATGTGTTATGGACTGGATTGTGGCCCCTCAAAATGTATATGTTGAAGCCCTAACCCCCAATGTGACTGTACTTGGAGATGGGGTATAAGGAGGTAATTAAGGTTAAATGAGGTCATAAGTGTGGGGCCCTGATCCAACAGGACTTGTGTCCTTATAAGAAGAGGAAGCAACACCAGAGAGGTCTCTCTCTCTCCCTGCCCAGAGAAAAGGCCATGTGAGGACATGGCAAGAAGGCAGCACCTAAAAGTCAGGAAGAGAGCCTCACCAGGACCACAATTGTAAAAAGGAAAAAAGAAAAAAAAAAAAAATATATATATATATCTATTCACCGAAAAAAGACTGGAAGAAAACAGACCAAAGTGTGAATAGCAGTGACCTCTGGGTAGCGGCTGTCTTAGCTGTGGTTTTTTGCTATAACAGAACAACAGACATTTATTTCTCACAGTTCTAGAGGCTCAAAGTCCAAGAGCAAAGGTGCCAGCAGAGTTGGTCTCTGGTGATGCCTCTCACCTTGGCTTGCAGATGGCTGCCTGTCACTGTGTCTTCACGTGGCCTCTCCTCTGGGTGTGCTCGGTGCAGGGGTCGAGGAGAGGGGAGATCCGGTGTCTCTTCCTCTTCTGTAAGAACACTAATCCCATCATGGGGAATTAGTGGGACCTAATGACCCTCATGACCTAACTGCTTCCCAAAGGCACCACCTAATACCATCACATTGGGGGGTTAGGGCTTCAACATATGCATTTGGGGGGGGACACAAACATTCAGTCCATAACAGTGGCATTATGATGATTTTTAATTACACTGTACCCTTACAAGTTTTATCAGGAAAACAAAAAGTGACATTTTTTAAAGAATGTCTATGGAATAGATGAAATGAAACCCATGCCCCAGAACAAAATCAGCAAGTGTTCTCAAGGTGCGAGTGGAGCCCAGGCTCACTGATGGAAGGAGGACCAGGTGACCTGGCCCAGCACACAAAATGGGAGAAACGGGATGGGAATGCCCAGCTGGCCACTTGCACTCTGGAGACCCAGCTAAGTCCCCTCACCTGCCACATCCATTTAATGCGGAGAAGAATAGTTACCATAGTTACCCTGGCAGAGCCTGGATTAAATGTGAGGGTGGATGCGGAAGTCTTTGTCCTGCCCTAAGGGACAATTAAAGCTGCCTTTGCTGGGTCATCGGGGCCTGGACTTCACTTGTCCCTGACTTATATCCACTGGACCCCATTTGTCCATTTTCCTCCCCTGGAGGCAGAGCAGTGGCGCCGTCTGCCAGGAGGCGTGGCTTCTCGTGTTAAGATGGGAGTTACAGATCACTGCCAAGGCCACTGCTTGGGGCTGCACAGGGGAGAGCACAGGCTGCACATTCCTGGAATGATGCTCAGATGCCTGGATATCTCGGCCCATTACCTCTGCATAACACCACCAGTGCCTGGCAGCAGGCTCTGCACACAGTAGGAGCTCAATAGATGCCTCACTCCTTGTCAAAGCTGATCTTTTTTGCGTAATGAGGTTGGTGAAAGTTATTTCTAATTCAATAGTCTGTTAAAATAGTTCCAACCAGTGGTCTTACATAAGTCACTCTCTTAAATAGCAGTTTTCATTTCAAAAGGTACTGGGGGACTTTTCTGTTCCTCACTGACAGTTTATATGATGAGGGATCTTTCTAGAAACCAAATAGTGATCCCTTGATTCCTCTGTATGTGTGCACAGAGGCTTTCTTACATGATAATCATACCATGCGTTTAGGTAATTCACCCTCTTATCCTGTAGATTCTCTCCCTTGATCTTCACAATCATCTCGAGGGAGAGGTGATCAGAGATAATAATAGAGCCAACACTTACTGAGTCCTTGTTCTATGCCAGGAACAAGCTTTACATCATTTATTTCATCCAGTCCCCAGAGGTTGGCTATGCTATTATCTCCATTTTACAGATGAGAAAAACTGAAGCTCATAAAGGGGAAGTTTCTAAGACAGCAGAAGTGAAATCCAACCCACAACACCCTACTTCCAGAGCCGTCCCAGAGAGGCCAAAGCGGAGGGTCCCCTTCCCAGGCCACAAATGAAGGCTTTGCTTGTCAGGATGGAGAGGAGATTCGGTCTCATTTAAAACCCAAGCAAGCTAGCTGGCAGAGTCCAGACTGTTGCTTTTTCACCACGGCTGACACCGTATCATAACTCAAGACACAACGTCCGCCAGCGACCAGGAAACCAAGGGCTTGCAGTGTGCTCAGAGCCGTTTCAGGAGGTGAAATCCGTTACAAACAAACAAGAAGATGTGATCATTCATTGTAAAGCGCTTTGTAAAATTCACATTTACAGAATAATAAAGTCAGTTCAAACCCCCCCAAAAAACAAAAAACCCAATCAAGATGGCAGTGATGACTTTTTGTTGTTGTTCCAAGTGAACATTAAATTCAACACGTAAGCAATTACCCACGATTTTTACCTTTCCAGTGTTTTGAAAGATTGGATGATATCCTTTGCGTGCCCCCAAAGAAAGTACACCTAAACGGAAATAAAGGAAGAAAAGAAAGATACATCAATGGGAAAGCCATCACTGTATTTGCACCCTTGAGAAGCTATAAAACCTAAGGGAAAGGTGTGAAAAATTTTGGGAAAGTCAGTGCAGTGACCTCCCCCGCCCAAAAATGGCAAGTCACTATCCTTGTCTCAGGTGGCAGTGCCATTCCCGGGGGGGGGTGTTGGGGGCAACAGTGCTGCAGGGGCACTGCCATGAGAATCAGATGGAGGCCTCCAGGTTTAGGAGGAAATAGTGACGAGTCTGCCGTGGGGCGGGGCTTGGGGAGTGGCAGCCTGACTACCATAACCCCTGTTCACATGTTTATGTCATCCTTATCAGGCTTCATTTGAGAAATATTCACTGAACTGTTACTACGTCAGTGGCCGGAAACCAGATTCTGAGTGCTTTAAATGAGGAACAGAATTAATTCAAGCTGGTCTTTTATTTCACTCTGTTATATACGCTGCCCAGGCCCCTGGCCACGCAGTCACTAGAAGCAACTCAGGATGGGGGCTGTATCGAACCCGTGTGCAAATCCTGGCTCTCTCGGCCTTGGGCAGGTTTGTTTTCCCATCTATTAAATGGGTATGATAATGGAACCTACCTTGGAGGGTGTTGTGAGCAGTGAAATAGGATAATCCATGTCAACTACTTAGAACAGTGCCTGGAGCAGGTACCTTTTCAGTAAAATCTCTCTGCTCTCAACTCACTCATTTGTGGACATTGAATGAGCACCTCCTCTGTCCCAGGCACTTTCTGAGCTCTAAAAGCATTCGGGGCCTTATTTAGACACAAACACATGTTGAGCACCTACTACATGCCAAACACAGCTGGGCACTTTATAAATTTGTCCCGTTTAGCCTTCATTTTCAATTAAGTGCCATAAAAAAGAAAATCAAACAACACACAAGAAATTACACTTACACATACTCTCTCTTCCACATCGTTTCACCTAAGATTGACTATCCTGCTCTGGAAAACACTTTCAGGCATGATTCTCGAAACATCTAACAATTTAAAAAACAGATAGTAGTGACTCCCGGTAAAGAGGACATTCAACCCAACAACAGGGAAACACTGAAGTAAATTAGCTTTTATCTATGAATTCTAAGTTAGAGGACCACTTAACTGATGCTTGATAAAGACTACATAGCAACACAAAAATGTTTATGATTTTTTAAGTGAAACACTCAAAACAGTAAACTCTGCACCTTACATGTAGAACTTTGCCAAGAATGTACACTTGAGTACAAAGAATGGAGGGAACGCATAAAAACAGCAACAAATATTTCAGTTAATGGGCTTACAGACACATTTTTAGTCTCTTTTTCAATTTTTTCAGTAATGTTATACTATATTTTTTAAATAAATATTTTTTAAATTACCATACAACCCAGCAATCCCACTTCTGGGTACAAATCCAAAAGAACTGAAAGCAGGGTCTCAAAAAGATATTTGTACACCCATATTCACAGCAGCATCATTCACAATGGTCAAAAGATGGAAGTAACCCAAGTGTCCAACAGTGGACGAATAGATACACAACATGTGGTCCATCCACACAACGGAATAGTATTCAGCCTTAACAAGGAAGAAAATTCTGACACGTTACGACATGGATGAACCTTGAGGACATTATGCTAAGTGAAGTAAGCCAGTCACAGAAGGACAGATCCTGTATGATTCCACTTGTCTGATTCAAAGAGACAGAAAGTAGTCAAATTCATAGAGATGCAAAGTTGAATGGCAGTTGCCAGGGGCTAGGGGTGGTGGGAATCAGGAGTTAGTGTTTAAAGAGGACAGAATTTCCTTTGCAAGATGAAAGAGTTCTGCTGATTGATTGCACAGCAATGTGAATATACTTAACACTGCTGAACCATACACATAAAAATGGCTAAGGTGGCAAATGTTATGGTATGTGTACTCTACCACAATTTAAAAATAAATAGTATGTTTTAGAAAGTAATGTTTTTTATCCTCCCATCATCTAATGTCGCAAATGCACGTAGTAAATGGCCAATAGGTATAGAAAGATTGATTAATTGACCTACTGACCAAATGCCTTAAATGAGGAAGAAAGAGATCTCCAACCCACCAAGCAACAGTTTTTGAAAACTCACTTCTGTCCAGGTCTTTCCTCTGCCCAGAACCTTCAATGGCTCCCCATTGCCCTTAAGGTAAAGTCAAAGCTGCTAAGTGGCTGTCAGCCTTGACCAAGCACTCACTGCAAAGTGTTCTATACACAGCACCTTAATCCTCACAACAACCCCGTGAAGGAGGCATTTTTACAGATGAGACCCATGAGGCCTAGAGAGGTTAAGACAATTGCACGAGGTCACACTGCTGGTGTGAGCCAAAGCCAGGTAGTCTGACCAGAGTCCATGCTTATAAGCCCTACACTAAACCATGGCTCCAGTCCAGGCCCGTCACCCCTGCTCACCTCCCGCCACGGGCCACACATCTTCTCCCCATCTGGTGGAGAGACTTCACAGCCCCAGATGTCCTTTGTAATGGTGTCTGACACACCACACCCCTCTCTCCTTGACAACCATCCGGCACCCCAAAGCTAGTGAGAGGCCCTCCCTGGCACCCCCTCTGGGCGATTATGTCAAAGCATTGACAGTGCTGACAGAGTTTGTTTTGGTGATTGTCTCCCGCTCTGACACCTCCATGGGGCACAGACCACGGCTTTTCAACCCTGGACTCACAGTACTGAACACAGGGTTTTGCCCCGTGTGGAAGGAAGGCAGGGAGGGAGAGAGAGTGAGAGCAGAGTGGAAGGAGAGAGGAAGGGGTGGGGAGGAATGAGGAAGGAAGGGAGGGAGGGAGGAAAGTAGGGGGGAGGAAGGGGGGAAGGGGGAAGGGAGGAAGGAAGGAAGTTCTTTCTGGTCCCCTAAGGCTTTCCATGTTGTCACTGGCATCACTATAAGACTGTCATCATGGGATTGGACGCCCCTGGAATAAATAGCCAGTTAACTCTTGTATTCCTTTACTGGCATTTCCAGAACAGAGTACCACAGACTAGATGGCTTAAAACAACCAAAATTAATTTTCCCATAGTTCTAGAAGCCGTAAGTCCGAGATCAAGGTATTGGCAGGTTGGTTCCTCCTGAGGCCCCTCTCCTTGCCCTGCAGATGGCCACCTCCCTTCAGCGTCCTCACACTGTGTGTCTGTGTCCTTCCCTCCTCTTCTCATAAAGATGCCCGTCCTATTGGATTAGGGCCCACCCTCATGACCTTATTTAGCCTTAATTACCGCTGTCAAGACCCTATCTGCACACAGGCACATTGTGAGGTCCTGAAGGTTAGGACTTCAACATCTGAATGCAGGGGACACAATTCAGCCCTTAACAACTCTCAAAACGCAAGGCGACCCGTTCAAACAAGTCTCCCTGGAAGCTGCCACCCTGTTCCACCGATGTTGCCACCCTGTTCCTCCCGCAGAGGCAAACTGCTGCCAGGCTCATCTCTTACAGAGCTTCACTTGTGAGAGTGTATTTGATCTCAAGAAACACCGTAAGGTCACCAAGAGCTGACTGGCTGTCACCTGGGTGCAGAGCGGAGACCACTTTCTTATAAAAGACTGAGATTAAAAATGGCATCCTTGGCATTCGGAGGTGAGAAATTGGTCCTGAAGGATGTTCCTAAATCGGGAATGCAGAAATATTTTGAGCAATAACAGTATCCCTGGACCAAGTTCATGGTCTTTCTGGGTGACTTCTGTGAAGAACCATGGAGAATGTAATATATACATATATATATGCATAAGATTGTGTGTGTGTGTATATATATATATATATATATATATAAAGAATGTATTCAATATATCTGTAAAAGAATGTGTGTATATATATAAAGAATGTATATATGTAGAACTGAATCACTTTGCTGTACAGCAGAAATTAACACAACATTGTAAATCAGCCATACTTCAATTAAAAAAAAAGAATCGTGGCATCTTGGCTGTGACTTAGGGCAAGTCATTTGTCCCCTCTTCCTCCTTAGTGTGACAATCCGACAGTTGTTCTCGTGGAGTTGTTGAAAGCATTACACGAAGTGAAAATGAAAAGTACTTTGCAAAAGTCCTATAGACATACTACTTATTACTTTTACTGTTATCTCAACTCTGATAGCCATTTCCAGGGATTTCTGCCAAGGATGGAAGCTACACTGGAGATCCATCTAATGTTTTTTTCAAACATGAGATTTTTCTGATTCTAAGCTATAGGTTTAAATTATATATCAAATCCTTATTTCTTACCCACACCAAGTTGACCAAGGCTGAGAATGAACCCCTCATTCATTTCTAAAGAATTTAATCCACAAGTAAGCAAACAAACAAATGAACAAAGAAAAGGTCTCAGTGACTCAGAGGAGGGACGGTAATGGCACAAAGTTTCTTTTGGGGGCGATGAAAATGCTCTAAAATGGACAGTGGTAATGGTAGCACAACCCTATGAATATACTAAACCACTGAAATGTACACTTTAAATCAGTGAATTGTACAGTATGTGAATTATATCTCAATAAAACTGTTAATTAAAATTCCCCAGAGCCTTTTCTGGTGGATTCTGACTTGGCAGAGTTTCCTGATTCTTCATCAGTGTAAGTTCTGCCAATTAAGATTCCCACAAAAATGGCCAAGATGACACAGTCCCACTTTACAGTGCAGGCAGCTGAAGCGCTGTTTTATATACCCTGGGATACACTTAACAGGAATCCAGGAAACAAGCAACAAGCAACAAGCAACAAGCATCATGTGGTTTACCTGCAACAGAGTATGTACCGCATGGGTAACAGGGAAAACTCCTTCTGTGGCTGATAAACATTCAGAAAATCCAACGAAGTACCCAATTTTAAGGCATCCCAGGATGATGGTAATGACTGCAAACAACGTGATACTACCTAAATTGGGGGAGGGGGAAGGGTAGAAATACACACATATAAGTGTTAATATGCACTAATATCATTTCAAAATAAATTATATTAAACCTTCACATAAATGGTCAAATGATTTTTGACAAGAGTGCCAAGACAATTCGATGGGGAAAGTACATTTGTTTCAACAACTAGTGCTAGGAAACTGGGTATCCACATGCAAAAGAATGAAGCTGGATGCTTACCTTACAGTATATCAAAAATTACCTCAAAATGAATCAAAGACTTAAATGTAAAACCTAAATCTATAAAAATCTTAGACGAAAACATAGGGGGAAATCTTTATAATGTTGGATTTGGCAATGACTTATTGGATATGACACCAAAAGCACAAGCCACAAAAGTAAGAAATAGGTAACTTGGGCTACATCAAAATGAAAAATAAATTATGCATCAGAGGACACTATCAACCCACAGAATGGAGAAAATATTCACAAATCGTATATCTGATAAGGTGTGAGGGTCCAGACTCTATACAGAACTATAACTTAACCATTAATAAAAAAATAAACAAAGGATTTGAGTAGACATTTCTCCAAACAACATATGTAAATGGATAATTAATACATGAAAAGATGCTCAACATCACTAATGATTAGGGAAATGAAAATGAAAATCACTATGAAATACCACCTCAGGGATTTCCCCGGTGGTCCAATGGTTAAGACTCCATGCTTCCACTTCACGGGGTGTGGTTCGATCCCTGGTCAGGGAACTAAGATCCCACATGCTGTGTGCCATGGCCAAAAAAAAGAAAAGAAATACCACTTCACGTGCATTAGCATGGCTGCTACCCAAAAAAGAGAAAGAAAAGGGGTGGGGG